AGTAGTAGTAGTAGTAGTAGTAGTAGTAGTAGTAGTAGTTAGTAGTTGTAGTTGTAGTCGTAGTAGTAGTAGTAGTAGTAGTAGTAGTAGTAGTAGTAGTAGTAGTAGTAGTAGTAGTAGTAGTAGTAGTAGTAGTTTGTAGTAGTAGTAGTAGTAGTAGTAGTAGTAGTAGTAGTAGTAGTAGTAGTAGTAGTAGTAGTAGTAGTAGTAGTTAGTAGTAGTCGTAGTAGTAACAGTAGTAGTAGTAGTCGTCGTAGTAGTAGTAGTCGTAGTAGTAGTAGGTAGTAGTAGTAGTAGTATAGTAGTACTAGTAGTACTAGTAGTATAGTAGTAGTCGTAGTAGTAGTAGTAGTACTAGTAGTAGTAGTAGTAGTAGTAGTAGTAGTAGTAGTAGTAGTAGTAGTAGTAGTAAACATATTATTATAATTCTTATTACTATTATTATTATTAGTAGTAGTAGTCGTAGAAATAATAATCCCATTGGTAGTGAGAGAGGATGAGGAGGAGGAGGGGGGAGGAGGAGGAGGAGGAAAATGAATAGGAGGAGGGACCCACACCAAAATTATTTCCGTCGGCCTAAGGATTTCTCCGTCGTCCTAAGGATTTCTCAAGATTCCTAAGGATTTGTAAAGATTCCCAAGTATTCCTGAGGGAATCCGGAGGGATCCGGAAGAATTCCTAAGGATCCTAAGGAATCCTTGGGATCCTGAGGAATCCCAAGGACCCTAAGGAATCCTAAGGATCCTAAGGGATCCCAAGGATTCCTAAGGATTCCTAAGGATCCCTAAGGAATCGAAGTATTTCTGAAGAAGACAGAAGTACTTCTGAAGAAGAAAGAAGTACTACTGAAGAAAAAGGAAGTACTTCTGAAGATTCCATGGTTGTAATTGGTCCCATTTCTGGTTGCAATTCGCTCCGAACGGTTGGAATTGGGACAGTCGGTTGTAATTCGTCCCATTTCGGGTTGCAACTCCCCCCGGGGGGTGTTTGGGGTCCGCCAAACCCTCCACGGAGGGGGTCGGGGAAAGGGGGTCGGGGAAACCCGACCCCCCCGTCTGGGGGGGTTTGGGGAAACCCGACGGGGGGGGGTCGCACGGGGGGGTTTCGCCAAGCCCCCCCTCTGGGGGATTTGGAACAAAAATCTAAAAATGCGCTACTGGCCCTGTCGGCCCTACTGGCCCTACCGGCCCTGCCGGCCCTACCGGCCCTACCGGCCCTACCGACCCTACCGGCCCTGCTGGCCTTGCTGGCCTTGCTGGCCCTACCAGCCCTACCAGCCCCACTGGCCCTGCCGGCCCTGCCGGCCCTGCCGGCCCTGCAGGCCGTACCGGCCCTACCGCCCGTGCCAGCCCTGCCGGCCCTGCCGGCCCTGCCGGCCCTGCCAGTCTGCCGGCCCTGCCAGTCCAGCCCTGCCGGCCCTACTGGCCCTACCGGCCCTGCCGGCCCTGCCGGCCCTACCAGCCCTATACCGGCTTACTGGCCCTACCGGCCCTACTGGCCGTGCCGGCCCTGGGGCCGTCTTCCCCCCACGGCTTAGGGCTTAATTCGGGTTCAGAGTTTATTCGGGCTCAGGGTTTAGGCCTTAGGAATCAAGATTTAGCGCTTAAGTAGGTCTCTCGGCTTAGTGCTTAGGGCTCATGCGTTATAGGGCTTAGGGTTTACGGCTTAGGGCTCAGGGCTAGGGTAGAAGGGTCAGGGTTTAGGGTCCAGGGGTTCAGGGTTGAGGGCGCAGGGTTTAGGGTTTAGGGATTAGATCTTAGGGTTTAGGGCTAAGGGTTCAGGGATCCTGGCTTAGGGTTCAGGGTTCAAGTGTAGGGTTCAAGTCTCAGGGCTTAGGGTTCAGGGCTTAGGACTCAGGGCTGATGGTTCAGGGCGTGGGGGAGAGGGTTTAGGGTTCAGGAATCATAATTCAAGGCTTAGGGTTCAGAGCTTAGGGTTCAGGGCTGAAGGCTTAGGGCTTAGGGTTCAAGGCCTAGGGTTTAGGGTTCAGGGTTCAGGTCTCGGGGATTAAGGCTTAAGGTCGCAGGCTTAGGGCTTAGGGTTCCGGGCTGAGGGGTCAAAGTTTAGGGCTCAGGGCTCGGGGATTCGGTCTTAGGGTTGAAGGATTCGGGCTTAGGGTGCAGGGCTTAGAGCTCACCCCTCCGTGCGACCCCCCCCCCGAGGGGGTCAGGTTCCTCCAAATCCCCCCCAGAGGAGCCAGAAAAAAAAACAGAGACTGAACGTGACCGCGCGGCGGTCGGTAGGGCCGGTATGGGCAGGGCCGGTAGGGCCGGTGGGACCAGCGCGGCGCCGAGTGCGCGTTAGCCGAGGACGTGTGTGTGTGTGTGTGTGTGTGTGTGAGTGTGTGTGTGTGTGTGCGTGTCTGTGCGTATCGCTGGTGTAGCCATTCTGCCTCGCCGCCGACGGAGAGTGTGTGCGTGCGCGCGGGTGGCGGAGGGGCGAGGCGGGAGGAGTGGGGGCAGGGTGTGAACGGAGGAATAACCAGCCTCGAACGTATCCC